GCGGCACATTACAGTACCGTCTGCTCTGGTTTACGGAGGCAGTATATACACTGCCAGTACCATACTCTATCTGAGTGACTATTGGATAGTCTGCGTATGTCTACATCACATGAGACCTTGTGGGTCCTCACCGTTGACTTGGAGCACGTCGTGCCCCGGCTCCGCCTGGAAGGCCAGCACGTGGAGGGGCCGGGCGTTGCCGGGCTCCACGCGGATCTCACAGGAATTTTGGTCCTGGGATTGTCCAGAACCCTCAGACAACAGCGTGTCTGCTTTTAAGTTCTCTTACAAATACACTCGCTTGCATAGCGGATCCCAAGTGCTTCATCAAAAAACGCAGGGCACTACTGCTGAACATAGCGTCGGAAAAGTGCTTCGGATGGCCGGAACTGGACACGCACGGGCCTTCCACAGTGCAGGACCTTGCAGCTCCCACCAGCTGAGATGCAAACAAAAACTACTTTCTTGCGAAGGCAGGAACGCACCACAGGAGGAGCACTTAGATTTGCAGATGCCAGAAGAAAACAACTTGGGACGGTGCCCGGAAAGCACCGTCCAAGGCGTCTCCTGCAAGATGCTGGAAAATCTACGTTACTGTATGACAATGCTAAAGCCGACTGGGTTACAGCAGCGCGCAGAGCACCAAACATGTGGAAATTGTCAAAACCAGCCCAATGCGCTTCAGGCCTGAAACGTGCGGCGGGTTGCTGCCTCCCAAGGCGACTTGCTGCGTCACTCGAAGAAGAGCATTCTGCTAAGCCAAGATAAGTAAAACAACAACTAAGGCGGGCCTAAGGCTTTATCATGCTTTTATTTTCGGTATACTATTACTGTATTGCAATATGCTGCGCCGCTCTACATGTCTACATGTGATCATACTGATTGCTGCACCTCGCTGTAGGCCAAGCAACGTCTATAGACATCTATCTGATGTGACATCCTCGCGTGCTGCCCCGTCCTAAATCGTGGACCCAAGCAAGCCTCGTCAAGCGGCTGCTTGCTCAATGGAATGGAAGGAGCTCTGGCCACGGCCTGCGAAGAAAAGACTTTGCCATGCCATGCTTCCTAGATTCTATCAGTATATACTATACTGATACCTTTGCCTACCCAAGTAGCAAACGACATCCACACAGATCATCATATGCCAAAATACGGTGCCAGCATTGTTCAAAAGAAATCTTTGTTCAACAAATCGATGGGCGCATGGCCAGCGGCCGCACGAGAAAAAAATGCCCGAAAACTACCCGATAGGTTCGGCAATTGATTCAGACATCAAATTCTGCTCATGTCCTCAAAATGCTCGGCTTTTTCGTGCCCCAGACCCCTAGAAAAAAAAGAAAGTAACAGACTTTGCAAGGGTAGGATATTAGGGGTCATCCCAAAAGCCCCAAAAGCTTCCAGCAAGACCCACCCAAAGCCCCCCAAACAAGACCCTTGATTTCTGAAGTTGGGAGTGAATGCCAGGGGCTCTCCTGGACCTAAACCGCGACCACGCCCCCCGCCCCCAACAAGGACATTGAGTTGCTCACGACCTGAAATTCAAGGCAGGGGCGGGCAGGGCGAGGCTCCTGGGTGTGCGGGAACCCAAGATGGTCAGAAGACTCAGTCTGTGGAAACTTAGAATCAAGAAATTCGTTGGAAGACCGAGGCCGCCCCCCCAACCTCAACGCTGGTTTGTCCCTAAAACTCTCAATTAAATATCGAAGGTGCTCTCAGTCTCACGGAAAAGGAAACTTTTTGTCCAGCACTTGCACTGCCATTTACTGTGAGTATTCCATCATGGGTTCCAAGAAATACTGTGCATACCTCATGCAGCAAACGGACAGATCCGCTACAACGTCCCCTCTTCCTCTGGCCTCGTCCAGGCAGAGCTTGAAGTTGGCATGGCTCGCAGCGCCATCCTCAGAGCAGTCTCAGTGCCGATTCAAAGCAGTGCGTCGTGCTCAAAGCAGCTAATTGCCAGTTGTCGGCGTCATTACACTGGCAACCCACTGTTGCCCTGTGGAGCTGCTTGAAGCCACGTGGCAGAACGCCAGACCAGGAGCCCCTTGGGCACGACCCTGTGGGGCACTGCCGGACCCGTGAAGTCCTCGCCATATAGAAGACAGCGGGCAGCAGCGTGGTGCAAAGTGTCGTGCACAGTCGTGCGTGGCATTCTCGTCTGCCGTGTGTTAAAGCATGCTTCTTGAGAATACCAAAGCACTATATATATGTACTGCAGAGATCTCTTTCGGATAGCCTACGTCATACAGGACACAGTCTACGTGTCCTCACCATTGACTTGGAGCACGTCGTGGCCGGGCTCCGCAGAAAAGGCCAGCACGCGGAGGGGCCGGGAGTTGCCACGTTCCACGCGGATCTCGCAGAAATCCTTGTGTATTTGCGGAACCCTCAGACAACAGTGTGCCTGCTTACAAATTTTACTGCATACTTGCACTGTGTATCCCAAGAGCATCACAAAAAGCAACAGCAGGGCAGTACTGGGTATGCGGCGTGTATTGGCCGCGGATTACGGGGCATATTTGTGCTCCAAACTCGAGTTTTAAGCACATTTACGTTTTTGAGGCTTCCGGAAACTACTTCTGGGAAGAGTAGTTTTTCAGGATTTATTGAGTGTTGGGTTTGTTTGGCGAAAACATGTTCAGGTTTTTGGGCTTGCACTGTATTGTTTTGCGGCGGTTTGCTCTCCAGACTCTACATTCGAAACCGGAAAGACCCGACAACCCTAAGTCCCGAACACCCTCAACTCTGAAATGGTCAATCGGTTTTGGCTTGGTGCATCGTTGTCACAGCTTGAGCTTGCTGAAGCTTGTGCTCAGCACTTGGAGGAAAGCACTCGGTTTGAGCGGGCCACATTGGCGAAACATCCACTGCCGAACCGTGTCGGAGAGCTGGGCTTAAGGGGGAGGAGGGTTTTGGGCTTGCACTGTCTGGGTTTCGGGCTTTCGACTTCGGGAGATTACCGACATGAACGTTATTATCCCCCCCCCCCCACCCCCCCCCTTCCTCCCCCCATCCCCCCCCCTCCCCCATCCCCCCCCACATAAACCCTCCAAAAAAAAATCGGGCACTTCGAGGCCAATCCACAAAGCGCAATCCAAGCAGCCGAAGACCCGAAACGCAAAAAACCCTGCAAAAAGCACAAACCCAAGAAGCAGAGGCCAGGAAAACACAAAGTCGAAACGGCAAACACACGAAAAATGACCAAAACCATAAAATGCAAAAAACACACACGAAAAAACGAAAATTAAAGTGCAAAACGTGCAAAAAACCAGGGAAACGGACACGTGGAGTCAAGAAATGAGGAAGTGAAAAAAGACAGAAATGTACAAAATGGAGGTGAAAATCACGTGCTAGGAAAAGTGAAGGAAGTGTCGCAAATACCGAGCTGAAACACGAAAAAACGAAGATCTTCCGCGGCCAAATACACGCCGCATTCCCACTGCTGAGCATAGCGTCGGGATCGTGCTTCGGATGGCCGGAACTGGAACTGGAACTGGACACGCACGGGCCTTCCACCATGCAGGACCTCACAGCTCACCCACGCTGAAACGAAGACAGCTTCGTGCTTGCGAACACAAAACACAACGCCGTGCCGGAGGATAACCCCTAGACTTACATGTGCCTCGATTACCAACACACGACCAACAGCTCCACAGCCTTGAACTGCCTATGAATCCAAGGTGGTCGCCTTCTGTTTCTTGGGGTCCGGGCCCAAAATCCACCTTCCACAGCGGAGCAGTGCCTGGAAGGGCGAGGGCCATGCTCTGCGAGGCTCATGAGGCTCTTGCTTTTTTTGATACGGAAAAGCATGTTTCAGTTCTGTGCTTAAGCAACTGTCATACTTCGCATCATACTAGATCATGAATCCTTTGCTTGTCCCCCTTACTGTGCTGGCCTCCTCCACTTTCAGCTTCGACTGGCCACGCTGCGAAAAGGCCTGCGAGAACGGAATTTGCAACCGTGCTCCCAGAACAAGTCCAGATGGGCAAAAATACAGCAGGTTTAGGGTTTAGTGTCTAGGCAGGTCTTTAAATAGTCACTCTATTGATGGGTGGCTACAAGCACTTCTTGGCACGCGCCTGTAACCAGGATCATCAGCATCTTTGCAACTTTCATCACTAAGAATCGGCGGCGGATTCTTGGCGAGCAGCAACCGGTCAGTCACTGGACCAGTTAGAGCTTCGCCCTTCTGCCTGCGCAAAGATTGGTTTGATCTATCCGGCTGCGGCGCAGGAGTCAAGCTCTGACATGGACCCTGCCCACGCAACGACAGCCTTCTCAACACTCAGCATCACCCGGGACCTTCACGGACCTGTGGAGCTGCCCATGTAGTACAATTGGGCCCATGGCTGCCCTTGGATAGTAGAGACGATCCCCCAAACTATGAGAGTTCTTCGAAAGGGAATCCCATAGAGGTGGTAGAACCCCGATTTGAGGCAGGGTCTTAGGCTCATTCTCATGGGAGCTGTAAGAAGCGGAACATGAAGCCACCTCACCTGGTGCACTCGTACTAGTCTTCCGGTTGGAGTCGTGCATGTCCTAGCGGAAGCCCTGACAAATCTACTTTGTAGGGAAGCTCGACCCAAATCTTGTCCAGCTTCCGAGGTTTTTAGTGGTTTTGCGATCCCAGTGTTCTGCTCCAGGCATGCGGGTTGACCAGTTTGAAGGCTCAAGGACCGAGCCTTGAATTCCATGACGGTCATGAGACTGGCGCATTCGCGGCGCTCAAGCATTGCGAGAGAGCACGGCGCAAGCATTGCTCTACTGCCGGACACCGCCAGAACTTCGATCCTCACTTGCCGAACTTCACAGCAGCGCTTCTGGCTCTGCTACAGCTTTATCCTCGTGATATTTCCGTGATCATGACATTTTTGCGAACCTTGAGAGCAGGACTACAGCCGGAGTGGCTATAGGGCCTAGTGTCTCCGCCCTGACACACGGAGCCTTCCAGCTCTCAAAGTATGTGAAGCCACGGGTAGCTTTGCCGGATTTTCCGCCTGCGGCAGCAGCCGAGTCTGGAGCCAAGGCTATTCAGCATTCGAGAAGCGAGCCTGCGCCAGCAGCAAAGCCAAAGGGCAAGGGTCTCAACTCATGGCAGCCCTAAACCCTACACCCTAAACCTATCATCTTTCATCCATCCAAAGGAGCAAGGCAATCGAGGTTCATTGAGGTTCAGAGGTCTTATAGCTCCCAGACTTTAAAAAGCACAAAAAAGATCTTCGGCCGGGGTAGATGCGATCTGCAGAGACTTTTGCTTACGAGAAGAAAGCATTGAAGGACCAAAAGACAAGCTGCAGTAAACTTGGGGGATGCGTGGGCAATCTGGCCAGGTCCACATGGTCGTAAGAAGCCCGCGGGGCGCGGGGTGCTGAGCCGTTCCCAAGCTCAGCAGCGCATGAGTTGCAGCAATCCTGAGGTCAACATCGCACACCAAAGCCACACCAAAAGCATTATTCCCGGAACATGCCATACTGCGAGATACGACCCGACAGCCTTTTCGAGCCCATCCTCGCAAGCTTCTGCCTGAACACGGTTCCTTCTCTCAGGCCATCTCAGGCCCCGACATCAACATGTCCTCAGACTGTGGACTTGGCTTTGATTCGTCAGACACTCCTTTGGGGCGTCGGATCTGAGCAAAGGCCAAAGGGTCAGAATGTCTTCACTGTGGCCAAATTTGTAATGGCTCACACCGGAGCAAAGCAGCCAACACCCAGCTTGGCACCGTATCTGTTTCACGGACTTCAAGGAACACTGAGCGCCACGCGTGCAGAATGAAGAGTGCGCATGACACGATTCTCCGTTCACAGAGGGACTCCACACCTGTCACGGCAATCGGTTCGGGCCATATAGCAGCCCACTTCTTAACCTCATGTGACACGAGGACCGTGGAGAAGCCTTCTCTGTGCGGCTTCCCCTATGACTTCATGTTGTGCCGGTTTCAGCTGCGCTTCCTGGGGCTCATCTACCTCCGTCATGGACCCTGTGCTATTCTGAGCTTCCCGGGTTGCCACAGTACTGAAACCCTTGGCTCCAACTGCCTGATGCCCATGCCCCAACTTCTCCTTAAAGAAGAACACCTTCAAAACCTTTGACCGGGTCTGCCAACTCCGACCTCTCCACAGAAGCTGCCGCTCCACGGCTGCCTCACAGCACGTGCTGGGTGCAAGATTCAGGTGGTGCTCTCATGGCTACACTCTCCGTGCTCTACTAGCTCTACTCGAAAGAAAGGCGCCTGGAGAAAGTGTAGTCAGGAAAGTCCGTGTCTGCCAGCGGAAGGACGCCGAACGAAGATACAAGCAGAGCAAGCCTTCCGGGCCTTCCGCATTGCATGCCTTGCCTTCGGCTGTTCCTCGACTAAGTTTCTGTGGCTTAGCCTTCACAAGTATAACTTGGCATGGCGGCTGGCTTGCTCTGGGCCACTGGACAGCTGTAGTCAAGAAATCTCTGGGCTACCAGGAATCTCATTCGAAACAAGGCTTTCAGGGTGTTGGGGTCTGAAATCTTTGCGTTCCTGGCAAGTTGGGGAATCCTTTCAGAAGGGGCCCGCATTCAAAGAGGAGCGGGGCCCTTCCGTGTGCACTCCCGTGCAAAGGTTGCATGTCACAGCCCGCGTGCCTAGCCAATCTTGGGTGTGTGTGAAACGCAACGACCGCAACATGTAGTATAATTGGGCAGGGGGTAGAGCCCCCGATTTGAGGCAGGGTCTTCGGCTCATTCTCATGGGAGCTGTAAGAAGCGGAACATGAAGCCACCTTCACCTTGTGCACTCGTAGTAGCCTTCCGGTTGGAGTCGTGCATGTCCTAGGGGAAGCCCTGACACATCTACTTTGTATGGAAGCGACCCAAATCTTGTCCAGCTTCCGAGGTTCTTAGTGGTTTTGCGATCCCAGTGTTCTGCTCCAGGCATGCGGGTTGACCAGTATGAAGGCTCAAGGGCCGAGCATTGAATTCCGTTACGGTCATGAGACTGGCGCATTCGCGGCGCTCAAGCATTGCGAGATAGCATGGCGCGAGCATTGCTCTACCGCCAGACACCGCCAACTTCGATCCTCACTTGCCGAACTTCACAGCAGCGCTTCTGACTCTGCTACGGCATTATCCTCGTGATATTTCGTGATCATGACATTTTTCGAACCTTGAGAGCAGGACTACAGGGACTACAGGGACTACAGCGCCCAGCCGTGGATATCTGTGGCATCGCGGGATCAACTGACAAATGTCTCAGGCCGGACATCGGCTCAATTCAAACTGTGCCGAAATTCGTGTCAAGCTGCGAGACCATTGTTTTGAGCATCCCTTATGTAGAGCTTCAGCATCTTTTCAAATAATTTCTGCCGTAAAAAACATAGATGTCTCATTATAAGGCGGGTTCTCGAGCAGCGGTTGTTTGTGCCCGCAGCTGACAAATGCTTGTTTACCCCTGTTTATGAATAAAAGTGATTTTCGTTATGAAACAATAGAGTAAACATTAAAGGTACATGAAAAATCTAACAAACACAATTCTATTGGAAAAACAAACAAAGGACAGGTAATACAAACTAACAATAACCAAAGAGTGATTTTGTTCCAAGTTTTCATTTTTTAAACTAAGTGTTGACTTTGATATTTCAAAGTATTGAATTTCTTATGTATAACAGTACTAATCAGCGAACGCAAAACTGTAAAGCCAATATGGAGGGAGTGCTGCTGAGCTCTGTGCTCGCAATTTGCCACCTTGTAATGTTCATGGTGTGCATGTACATGGTCAGGAACCCACATTCTCGGCCACCCAAGCAGCCACGTCTCGCTCGCTGCATTCTTGGATATTATTGTTGGTACTGTAGAGCTCCCTTCAACATCTTTGCTGTGCTAACGCCTCTAGGTCACACTGAAACCTAAGTGAAAAGACAAGATGTCATCCCCCCAAGTAGAAAATACCGAAGAGGCTACACCGCATAAAATTCTGGAAATCTCGCTTATGTGGGTTCTCGAACAACAGCTGTTTGTGCCTGCGATCTTTGCTGCAGACCAAACATTCACCCGGCTGACAAATGCTTGCTGAGCTCCCGGCAGCACCTCTTGCGAACAGTAAAGCTGGAAAACCAACATGGAAGGAGTGCTGCTGAGCTCTGTGCTCGCAATTTGCCAGCTTGTAATGTTCATAGTGTGCATGTACATGGTCAGGAACCCACATTCTCGGCCACCCAAGCAGCCACGTCTCGCTCGCTGCATTCTTGGAAAATATTTTTGGTACTGTAGAGCTCCCTTCAACATCTTTGCTGTGCTAGCGCCTCTGAGTCACACTGGAACCGAAGTGAATACGGTTGAAATGTTTGTTTTGATATCATAAAAGACAAGCTGTCGTACCCCCAAGTAGAAATACAGAAGAGGCTACACCGCATTAAATTCTAGAAAACTCACTTATGTGGGTTCTCGAACAACAGCTGTTTGTGCCTGCGATCTTTGCTGCAGACCAAACATTCACCCGGCTGACAAATGCTTGCTGAGCTCCCGGCAGCCCCTCTTGCGAACAGTAACGCTGGAAAACCAACATGGAAGGAGTGCTGCTGAGCTCTGTGCTCGCAATTTGCCACCTTGTAATGTTCATAGTGTGCATGTACATGGTCAGGAACCCACATTCTCGGCCACCCAAGCAGACACGCCTCGCTCGCTGCATTCTTGGAAAATATTTTTGGTACTGTAGAGCTCCCTTCAACATCTTTGCTGTGCTAGCGCCTCTGAGTCACACTGGAACCTAAGTGAAAAGACAAGATGTCATCCCCCCAAGTAGAAATACAGAAGAGGCTACACCGCATTAAATTCTAGAAATCTCACTTATGTGGGTTCTCGAACAACAGTTGTTTGTGCCTGCGATCTTTGCTGCAGACCAAACATTCACCCGGCTGACAAATGCTTGCTGAGCTCCCGGCAGCCCCTCTTGCGAACAGTAACGCTGGAAAACCAACATGGAAGGAGTGCTGCTGAGCTCTGTGCTCGCAATTTGCCAGCTTGTAATGTTCATAGTGTGCATGTACATGGTCAGGAACCCACATTCTCGGCCGCCCAAGCAGCCACGTCTCGCTCGCTGCATTCTTGGAAAATATTTTTGGTACTGTAGAGCTCCCTTCAACATCTTTGCTGTGCCAGCGCCTCTGAGCCAGATTAGAACCCATGAGCAGAAGTCACGAATGTGGCTTCTCGAGCAGCACATGCTTTGTGCCTGCGATCTTGCCGCCGACTAAGAAGTCACCCAGCTTATACACGTGTGCTTGCTGAGCCCTCGGCAGCACCTCTTGCAACCTGTAAAACTTTGAAGCCATGATGAAATGGGTGCTGCCGAGGTCTCGCGTGACACGATGCAGGACTTACTTGGGTCAAGGTCTCAACAGCGCGCGGTGGGTTCATAGGACCCAGGCCTGTGACGCAGATAGAACTTCATGGCGGTTCTGACCAGCATGGAATCTGCGGCTCTCGGCTCAAGACTCTAGCTGCCTAGCCCAAGCTCCAACCTCAAACATGATGACGGCCAAGTCAAAAAAAGCTACAGCTACGATGCCAGTCTCGCCCCCCCCCACCCCCCCCGCTGAGGCACTGAGCCATTGCGCGATGTGCCATGATGAAGCTGCTCCAGGAGAGCCGCCTCCTGCAGTTCACAGCTCGGCCGCGTGACACACATCCCTCAACTCGCACGCCCTCTGACTTTTCTGTCGTCTCAACCTGGCACTGGCACGATGCGCAAAGGATGAGTCCTCGCTCTGAGGATGCAAGATCAAGCTTTCGGACACGACTCTTTGCCAAAATGGTGTGGCCCCTGTGCAACGGGTCAATAGCAGTGAAAACTCCCGCTTGCTCCACGAACCAATGAGATGCAAAGCCGAACCATTAATATCAGCTCATGAGTCCAGAGAACAAGAGAGCACCCTTAACAGCTAGACCATGAATCCAAAGAACCAGCCAATTAGCACTGTAAACCTTAGGAATTAGCTCATCACCAGGGTCTTTCATCACTTCCCGGGTGTTCACTTCACGCAGAATTATATTTAATAATACCGTGGAGAGAACACAACATTCTCATTAATACAAGTGAGTCTGCGAGCGCGTGATTATAATATGGTAACACCTTGGAATCATGAGCCAGGAAACTAGACAGAAAACCAGTAAAATATGACTATTAAATGCGGGCTTATGAGGAGTGAAAAGACGCATGAAGCCCGTGCAATTTAATATGACTATTATGTGGGTGAGAGAGGACAAGTGCATGCGCGGGCTTACTGTTCACGTCTCAAAAGGGCCCGCGGTAAAATACCAAAAGACCCTAGAATTTCTTATTGAAGCATGCTCTCATTAACATTCTCTTTTCCTCATGTCTTCGTGCCTGAGTGTCCTGTGCATAACCTTGTTTTTTGCTTCACATATAAACTCCAAACCAGGATAACAAACCCTCAACCGAAACAAATAAGCGCACGCCATTGTAAAGCCAATGCTCGAAACCACACCCAAATGCTGATTTGGAGTGTCGGTTTCTGCAGCCCTGCGCACTGGACAAGATAAAGTTCAAAGTTCATACCTCGTGCTTGCACAAGCAGCCGAGACCCCAATGATAGTAATCCCAATCCGAACTCTAGCAGTGGCTGCGCAATGACCCAGTGGCCCCGTGCCTCACGGTTTTAGATGGAACGCACCTGTCGGCCGTGTTCGAGAGAATGTGTCTTGCTTCAGAGCATGACAAAATGAAAATGAAATGGTGACACTGACTTACCGATACCGGTAGCCATTCATTACTTGAATTCGCAGATGAATGCAGCTCGCAGTCCCAAAACAATAAGGAAAGGACTGCGAAACGATAACTTGCGAACAGAAAGGTTGAGTTCCTCGTGAGCCAGAGGGTCCCATGTTTTACTTCCACGTTACATCCAGGTCGCTATATGGGGCTGCGCAGACAGAAGCTACTCAAAATGGCAGAGTTTTGGGTGCTTAAAGTTCTTGGTGCAGGTTCGGGTCGGGGCCTTGAGCCTCACAGCCCCCACCGCCCCCCCCCCCCCCCCCCCCCCCCCCCCCCCCCCCCCCCCCCCCCCAAACCCCGCAGTCTAAAGCCCCCAAACCCAAAGATATCGAATTCGAGATTCTCGCAGTGCTTCAGAAACATACCTTACAACGAAAAGCCCACACACCGACGCCGAACACTGAAGCCACAACTCCTCGGCTCACCAAGCCTCACAGCGAAGGTCAACCCGTAAAGTGGTCTTCTTTTCCCACAGAAACCCTCAACCTGAACCCTCAACACCCCAAAGCAACTGTCAATTCTTGAAAACCCTCATGGCTGCGCCCCACCCCAGCGCTTCGAGGCTTCGGCTCGGGATTTTAAAGTGGTTTGTAGTAGCAGGGCTGATGCCCAAAAAGGCAGGGTTTGGGCCATACTCGGCCTGTTTGCAGGCTTGGTCTTCTGCGGTGTCCTCGCCCATGGCCAGTTCCTGAAATTCAAGATATCTCGGGCTCCCCGTTTCTACGAATCTGGCGACGCTGCGTATGTTGGCAGGCGAATGGTTCCAGAAAGGGGGCAGGGGGAGAGGGGGGAGGGGAGGGGGGGCCAAACGTCCTCGTGGTACTCCTCTGGGATGGGTGCATCTGCCTGGTGGTCCGGCATGACAACGGCAGAGTCAGAAGCGGCTTGCGAAGGCTTCAAGTCAAGTCTTTGAAGCACGACGTGCAGGTTCTTATCTTCCGAATCCCACACAACCCTTATTCCGGCATCCCCCTAACATCCCCAAACCCGCAAACCCCTTAAAACCCCTTGACCCTCAACCCCAATACACCCGGGTTTTGCACCCGCAATCCTTCACCCCCAAACCCTGAAAACCCCCATAGCCTACTCAATTTCCAACGGGCTTTCGAAACACCTCCCTAGACCCTAAACCCCCCATATACACTTTTGGGCTCTGGAGATTTCGGGGTTTCTGGAAGTTCGTTTTTGTTGGCGGTTTGAGGGTTTGGGTCTTAGGGTTCGGGGTTCAAGTGGTTTGGGATTTGAGCTTGGGTTTTGCGATTTTTTGTTTGCCGGTTTGGGGGTTTGGGGGCTTTGGAGGTTCTTGAACACACGCAGATAAACACGGAGTTTGCCAAATATGGATCTTTTGCACCTGTTTGTGCTTATAGTTTGCTGTGCCGGAAAGCACATCTTCAGATTCCCCGACGACGACAGAACCCGACAAATTCAAACTTTGAAAACCTCTCCAAAGCTCCCGCAAACGATCCGCCTGCACCACCTCGCCCTCCTCCAGCGCTCCGCCTTCCTCCGAGGCTTCGATTTTTCGGGTTAGGGACGGTTTAGGGTTTAGGGTTTAACTCTGATGCCTAAAAAACTCATACAGTACTCTGGGACCGAGGGCCCGAGGGTTCAAGCTGAGGGAATTTGAAGGCCAGTTTTCGCGACACGGCTGTGAAGTGATGGATGTCGAGTCCTGCAGAGACCCTGAAAGCTTGCAGCTTCCAAAGACACACTCAAAGTGCAAAGGATGCCGTGGGGCTTCGTACTCACTTGCTCAATTCTTTACTCCTCTGTTCCCACAAGCACCGACGAGCCTGACAAGATTGGATTTTTGCCAGCTCCTCATGCATCAAAGCAGCAACGTCTCGGTATGTGGGATACAGGAATTGGGAGTCAGGGTAGATTCTTTTTGGACTGCGGAGTTCAGGGCTTCACTTTGGATTCAGCAATTGCAGGCATGCGGGCTGGCGAATTTGCTGAGGTGAGTGGGCGGGGTGTGGGGGTGGATGTGGGGTGGGGCATCCCCGGCTGCACTTCTCCCCACAAATCCGATACTTTATACCATACATAAAATTCTGTGCAAGGCCATCCCTCTAAGGTTCAAGTTCTGAATCAACCCCGCCCTGTGTGTTTATGCCTTGGCCTTTGTGAGATTTTGAGGACGCCGCGGCTTATTCAGAATTGTGCCGTGTAGCTCGGTACGGGCATTGAAGAGGCTGTCGGTAATTGTGCACCTTCGCCCGGTGAAGCTTGCTTATGTTGACTTTCCTGTAGCATGTGTGTTTCCAGTCTTGTATAAACTGTTTCGAATATGTTCTCAAGCGCCACCAATGGACGTAAGCGACATGAGGTAAGATTGAAGTCACCATCATGCTGGAATCCCCACCCCCCTAGCGGTCAAAACCTGAGGGGAGGGTGAACTTTAATAATTGGTGCCTGGAGGGACAATTTTTTATCTTTACTGGCTTTGCCCATCTTTGCCCTACCAGCTCACGCATTCAACACCCCCTATTCGTGCTCTAGACAGCTGGACGAGTTGTGCTATTGCCCCCGGGACAATAGCGCAACTCATTGCTGGCTCTGCACGCCGCAACGTCAATTTAAGAACAGTATGAGATAGGGACAACAAAGAACGAGAATACAGTTTTTTATTGAAATCTAAAGGCGCTACGCCCCCCCTGCTTTTTTCCTTAAGGAGGGGGGATACGCTGGAACATTCGAGCGAGCTTGATTTGGTGGTATATATAGGTTCTTGTGTTTGGTTTACTGGTCTTTGAATGAAAGTTCATTACTTTGTAAGGTTCGCATGGTCATTATCAGCTTCCAGCGTGGATTTGAAGAATGTGATGCGCTCGTCAGACATGCTCATGCGCAGATTGCTGTCTCCCACAATGTCATGATACTGTTCGGCTATGGACGTCCCCGGGAAAATTTGGACAAAGCATCAGGGTTCATAGTCTGAACGAGGATGAGAACTGAGTGTACGAGACTTCTCGGAACGCACGAACTATGCGCCTGTTTGATATTCTGTAGTTATGATGGTTGATCTTTGGGGCTTCAGCCTGCAAGGAAGAAGAAGAAGACCTCTGATACTGACGTCAGTGGCTACAGTATCCACCTCTACAGCCGCAACAACACCGTGGCACCAGAAAGTGGAGAAAATGACTCAGTCGACAACTTTGACCACACTTGGAACGATGCACCGGCGACATATTACTGTAGACTGGAGACGTCTATGAATCGCTAATGTGGGTATCCGAGTCAACGACCAGCTGTTTTCGACGCCTCCCACAAAAATCAATATCCGAAAACGAATCCCAAACAGACAGTGAAAATGTCTTTGGCCCTTTAGTATCCAGGAGCTTCGAGCACAAAAGCCGGAAGGCGTGACAGGCTGAAAGCCCACCCCCCCACGGCCGGACACCACACCAATTAGCAAGAATGGTCGGGGATCGGCTACAGGGGAGGCGCAGCCCAACAGGCGGAAACTGTGGGTCACAGAATGACCGGCACCTGGACAAGCAAGACATGCTGGGAAACGTACGGGAAAGATCAAGCAGCGAGGAGAAGGCGAGGAGCCTGGCAAAGCTCCCCTCCATCTCCCTTACGAAGCAAGGCGCGCGGAGAAGAGAGAAGGACTGGGCGCTGTGAGTGCTACGTACCTTAGTACCGCCCCGGGCCCCAGTACCGAAGAAGCCAGGACCGTGTCCGGAGAAGGCCCCGCAGGCCCGGGGCAGAGAGAGGGCGAGAGAGAGAGAGAGAGCGAGAGACAGAGAGAACAAAAAACGAAAGATACCACAAAGGTATAGGCGGCATAAACTTCCAGGGAGGGGAGGGGGGGGGGCGTTGTTGAGAAGCTGAACCTTAGAGCAGTGGCCTTGTTCACAACATGACATCACTTTTAAAATATTCCCCATAGTATTGTAGAGTTTCTGCTATAGCCGGATAGGCCGGGGTTTCAAAGAACGGATTATACAAGAGGAAGGTGAAACCGGGGAAAGCGAAGAAGGTCATACCTAGACTGATGGGATGGGAGGTGGATGGGGGGGTGAAGATGAGGAGGGGGAGATGGGGACTTGGTGGCATGGAACTCCCAAAACTGTTAAAGCCATAAAGCTGAGGCTCCGCTTGATCCAGCTTGGACTCCACTTCCTCCAGCAGCTCCTGCACTTCTTCCTTCTCCAACATTTGCAAGTATCGTACTGCCAAGCTGAACTCATCAGCATGCAGCGTAATCTTCTTTGGCCCAAGGCTTTGAAGGCTTTGGGCGCATGGGCCAAGGCTTTGGGCCCATTCCTCCTTCAGCTTGTCTGTCTTCACTTCGGGCGGCAGTTCTCGGGTGGATGCAGCCAGCAAATACAGCATCTGAGTGCTCGGGAAGAAATGTGTCTGGACTAGGCAGAGTTTGTTGAAATCTGCAATAGCTGTCATCACTGTGGACTGCTGGCAGCTTTCGTCAACCGCCAGGGTCTTCTGCCACAAGTTTTTCATGGCATTGATGATCGTTTGCCGCCAAAAGTTGCCGCCTGCCGCTGCGCAGCATTCCAAGCTCGAAATCAAACGGCGTAAGGACCCAACTAAAACTTTATAACTCATGGAGCCATGCGGCCGAGGAGCGCAATAGATAGTCCTCTTTCTGCTGTGGCTGCTGATCTTTGCTCTGATGGCGTCGCAGCTTTGCCCGCTTGTCAACATCTAACACCCACTCGACCCTCTCCGACTCGAACTTTGCTGATAAGTTCTTCACAGCCCACCTGGCACATTGTTTGCCACACTCGATGAGGCCCATCATCCTTTCCTTGAACTTTGGGATACCTGGGCCAGCGGAAGCAACACATGCAACACACAACCCATCGGTTCCATGTCAAAGCACAACCCATAGCAGAAGCTGCAAGCAATGAAACTTGAAGTGGGGCCCCCTGAAGTGTCAAGCATGGAGCAGTTCCAGAATGATGACGTCTCCTGATCAAGCGGTGTGACTCACTTTAACAGCGACTTACAAGATGATCGAACTTGGGCGCACAGAACAAGTGGAACATTGATGCACCGGGACAAAGGGTTCGACAGCCGCACCAACACAAGCGCATGTGAGGATTGTGCCGTCCTTTTTGTCCAGGTCCTCGAGGTGGCTCTTCAGATCTCTCCGCCACTGACAAGTCTGCACCTGGTGTTGCAGTTGGAAATCTAGGAAGCTAAGCAGGCCGCAACGGCCGACATGGGGTGGAGCAAACCATGGCTTCAGCCTACACAAGTCTTGACATCCCACGTGCAACTGTCGAAGCAGATATAAACACATCGTCGCGTTCGCAAAGTCTAGCCACTCCATGGCGACGCAACAGGCCATGCATGCAGTGGAAGCATGCAGTGGCGCAGGTTCCGCTAACCTCCAGCCGCCGAATATTTAGTCGAACCCCCTGCCCGCTCGCACGAAAATCTTGAGGAACAACACAATCCTGTGGCGGATAGGGCAGTGATCCTGACAAGCAAAGGAGACGCAGAACACCACACGGGATATGTGTGGGGGACAGCGGTCGTATCGTCTGACAGCCCTGAAGCAACGTGCGAACCACCTGGCCCTCTTTCACCAGCATTACTATCACTGGGTGCAATGCCGAGAATTTCCATGGCAAACCACAACGAAAAAACAACTGCGCGGCAAACGCAAGGCTTCTTTGTCATCTTACCATGCTACCGTTGCTTACCCGGCGCCTTCAGCGCCTCAGGGCAAAGTCGGACTCTCTTCCCCTGCCATGCGAGACTCTGCTTCGAGTGTCACCGTCATGACATGACTATCGCTGTCAACAGGCCCAGGCCTTCACGTTAATCTCCTTGCAGGACAAACGTTCACGAGGTTCTCTACGCCTACGGAAACTACGGCCGTCCTGCTGGCTGTTGCACTGCTGAGCGTGTCGCAGGTATTGAGCCATCAAGTGAATGACGACGTAAACGACAACTAGAATAGTCATCACGAGCAGGAGTGTGGCACAGACCCACACAAATCTTCCTTCAGGAAAGAAGATTAACAAGACGGCCACTGTGCTGAAGAGAATAAAGCGGGTTGCCAGCAGTAGGACATCCATCTGATCCAAGATCTCGCCACGGTCATTCTCATATGGTTTAAGCCAAGCAGTCATGCCTAGCTGTATACCCGAGATGATTGGGAAAAGCAACAGTTTTGCATTGTCGTCGTCAGCCAAGGAGGTGTAAGCCACGAATTGCATGATGACAATGTCCAGCCTCTTGACACACAATTCCCACCACCAGTACTCGCGCTCAAACCCATTGATGAAGTAGCCGAAGGTACGGTAGTTTTCAGCCACGCTGTGCATGCGCTGAATCTTCTGGCTGATTCTGCAAAGCAAGGCCAGTGGAATGCCAGCACTCCAGAGACCAAGACCCCAGATCGCGACCCACATTAATGGCCCATGATCTTTTTCCCAGCAAATCACATTAGGGTGCGGAAGCAAGCGTTGTTGAATTTTTGTTGAATCATTGCCATCATTGCTGACTACTTGAACTTGCATGGGTGAACAGCGGATCATCTGCAAAAATTGCGAAAGCATGTCAGGCCAAATTGCAAGCTGTGTAAGCCACAGCACTGGTGCAGCTCCCTTCAGGAAGTCTCTCATACCTGGAGATGGACTGAAGAGGTTGAAACTCAGTGCTTCGGAGCGTTCGGATCCGGGATGACCTGGGTTTGGTCTCGGGATGCGCAAAACCTGAATCTCATAAATCTACCAACCCATCCTTGTGCTGCCATGCTGCAGATCATGGTGGCCATCTCACTGGGAGGGCACGATTCGTGTGCAAGCCCACACTCTGGACACGCTGTCAGCCTCGGCGAATCCGCCGTTTTGTGCGGAGAATCGTCATCTCCGGGGCGAGCAGTTCGAACTTGCTTGCGACAGACGCAGAAAGTGGATGACAAAGTCTTGTGCCATCTCGTCTTCTTTTGCGGTCCTGCAGAAGTGCATAGGTCGCGATGCGCTAAGCCGCTAAGCTGCCTAAGCCGCTATAAGCTGCCCATCCGGCAGCTTAAGTGATCCGTTAATTGTGGCCCTTGCCTGAAAGCTTCTTCTCCAGGGCGCGGAAGACCCAGAAGTCCACAAGTGCTTGAGGGATTTCGCGATTGTTGGCCTCAATGGTGCAAGAATGTGCAAGAGGTACCACGGGTTTTACAAACTTGTTCCACACTTGTCCAGCTCCATTCCCACACTGCGCATTTGAAATGCGTAGTGAGCTTTCTTGCAATCACCTGGCCAACCCCTTCAGGCTTGGGCTCAGGGGTTTCGAGTTGCCTCCTGTTTCCCGTGCAGCGCAGGGCCATTTCGGGTTCGGGCTTTGCACCTTCGTGGCTAGATTTGTGCAGCAGGCGGATTCTTGCGGGGTGTTGGCTCCCCAAACAGCACTCAATGACATTTGCGCCTTGGGGTTCGCAACTCCGGGCTTCTTCTTTTAGGGGTTGAGGGTTTGGCATCGAGCATCTCCTATAGGGATCAGGGTTTGCATCTCTTCTTCGGGACGAAGGGCTTGCTTCAGCGTCTTTTTAGGGTCGCGGGCTTGCCACCCACTTTTCCAGTTTAGGGCTTTTGGGTTTTTGGTTCACGCTGCAGTAGGATATGCCAGCCCGACCAAGCTATTCCGATGTCAGTTGAAACGTCGCTGTGACACGGTTTGCCACCTGCGTTTCCCGGTTTCATTTCAGGTTTACGCTGCGGGCCTTGTGCTTTTCGGGCTTCGGGTTTGCAACTCCCTGCACTCCCTGTTTCCACCTCCTTTTTGAGGTTCATGGTTTGCCACTCGGCATCTCGTTTCGGGGCTTAAGGCTTGCCAGTTTTGCGGCTTAGGATCCGGAGTGTGTAAAAAAAGGCACTGAACAAAACATCTGGATTTTGATTGATGGCTCTTTGCCTGCCAACACATATAGATTCTGGGCTGCAGATTGGCGACTGCCGCCCGCAGTGCTGGAGTTGGAATGGCATCCAGGAGTTTGTAGTCCACGCCCCAATCGCCCACCTGCATGGCGTAACCAGCATAATACTTCTTGCGCCAAAGATGACGTACGAGGTCCTCTTCAGTCGGGTCCTCGCTGACCTCAATCGTGAAGAATAGGGAGATTGATTCGCTCGGGTTTAGGCGGTTTAGGGTTTGGGGTTACATGCTGCGCAAGCAGTCGGTTGCACCCAAAAGATTGAAGTGAGATCGAAATTACCTACTTGTAAACACGTGGGGCTTGCAGCTTGGCGGCAGTATCCTTTGTGTCCTTTCCCCGTTGCTTTTCAATGTCGGCAGCCTGCTCTGCAGCTTTCTTCAGCAGCGTGGCAACACTGTTCACAAGAGCCTTCCGTTCACTGGAGGGAAGGAGGAGCCCGGCCAGGTTGGCAACAGGGAGCACGAAGTAGACCATCAACATGCACACAACAATGCTGCCAAGAAAGGTCAGCAGTGGGCGTGCAAGATAGTACAAGGCTGGAAAGACTCTCTTGGCTGTCGGGCTGCTCGCGAAGTGGGCATCGGCGAAGCAATCTGCTGCAAAGTCCACATTGACTTTGGGCATCAAGGACACCAGCTCCATCAGCTGGGTCATGGCCTCGGTGACGGCAGGCGGCCAAAAGTTGTCCGAGCAATCTCTGTCTCCGTCCCCACTGCCTCCGCACTGCTCAGCTGGAGAAACGTTTGCATCCTGCGAGGATTGTGAGGAGGATGGAGAGAAAGGGGGCACCAGGCCTGACAAATCGAACGCCAGAAGGATTGAGCACGCTTGATGCCAATGAGTAAAACTGCGGAGGGTAACCGTATACACTGGCTTCAGTGCCCCTGCCCCGCCAGCGGCCATGGCCGCTTTAATGAAGTTCAGGAATGAGATCCATCCAATGTCTACCGCCACTGTCAAGAAGAGTGGGAGTGAGCGTCTGCCGCAATTCTCGCAGGGCTCCAGATACGTGCCTCTGGCCCATCCTGCTGGGCACTCACCACACAGCATTCCAGTTGCCCCATCGGCGCAAATGTTCTGAAGCCCCTCATTCCCTTCAAAGGTTTCAGTGTGGCCGTCAGTGGCATTACCACGACAAACGCTCGAGCCGTCCAGCAACTGGACACGGCACTGCAGAGCCAAGGTCTGGGCAGTCTGGAACCATCCAGAACGAGCTCTTGGCTGCATGTGATTGCCTTGATCATCCAGTCCTCCGTCGCACGCCAAACCAGGATACAATGAACATGGAACGCAGCGTGTCAAGTGGCCGTTGTCGATCTGTGCACGGTAGTCCTTCTTGCAGAAGCAGTCGTCTTTGCTCCGGGCACCTTCCTTGCTAGTGGCATCCGTGGGGCAGACTTGGGTGCAGGGGCCATTTCCAATGAGGTCCTTGAAGTACCCTTCCGCACAAGGCACACAATCTGCAGTGCTGTTGGCACCTTGATAACCCTCCTCACATTCACAGTCGGTACTGTTTTGTGATGCTTCCGACGTTGTGGTGGAATGTGGTGGGCATTTTATGTCCTCGTTTGTGCCCGGACAGTAAAACCCCTTGCTGCATGCAACACATATTAATATCTCGTTCTTCCAGTGCTCGCCGCGGGGGCACTTGCAATCCTCCGGAGACACAGACGCGTCTTGCAAAGTATATAGTCTGTTGTCTTCCTTACACAGCTCACAAAGGATGTTTCCTAATGTCGACTTGTATCGTCCCTGAGCGCAAGGGGTACAGGTCGAGCCGTCAAAGCCATAGCCTGGAATACACTGGCAGTCACCGGCATGTGTCAAAGCAACTCCAGCCGGTACCCTTGAATTTGGAGGACATGTCAGGTTCACGTATACCACAGCAAGGTCTGAAAGCCTCTCTGCCTTCAGATTGCTTAGCTGTGGAACTTGTCGAAGAGCCGCACGGATGTCCTCACAAGCCACATCCACATCTATCTCTTGTGCGGCGATGCCTGCCTCCTCCTCCGATTTCAACCTAAGTCGGATGATCGCCGCCAGTTGCTGTAGCAAACGGCGTGTACCAGAAGAACTTTCTGGAAACTCGACTTCGATCGCGTTGATACTGCTTCGAGTGGCGCTTCCCATGCCTTTACGTACCGCATCCCGAATTCGACTCTTCAAGTCTTCGTCTGTCAGGTTTGTAGAATCTGGGCTTACAAATGAAAGACGGAAGGCAACAGCTGGGACAGTCGCCATGCTCGCGGCCGGGATGTCCGAGCCAACACAAGAATCAACAGATACAGAGCCTTCGACGCGCGTTGTCGTATTCGCCGGACATTGCGCGCACTTCGCATATAGGTCTGTGCTCACATCGTTCTTGTAGAAGCCTGCTGCGCAGGGCTCGCAGGTGCCTTCCGCAGCCTCGTGCCCCGGGGAACACCGACATTCCTCAGGTGAGGCTGCGGTCGGACTAACAGTCGTCTCCCTATCTTTGCAGGGAAGTCTTGTGGCCACTGTTGGTCCACCTCCTGGGCAGTAAAAGCCTCGCCCACAAGGTCTGCACCTCGACGCGCTGAAGAAGTGCCCTGCTGGACAGTTTGCTAGTAAGTTACCTGCCGGAGCTTGGAACGAGAGCACTGAGTCACATGCTGCCTGGCGCGGGCACCAGCAGATTTGATACACCCCAGGAAAGTTCCAAAGGGTTCCCAGAGTAATATGGAAGCCCAGTCCTCCCTGAGTGCCTCGCGCCAGTGAAGCATTTTGCCGGAATGAGCTGATATTTGCACAGCCGGTGTCAGCGTTATCAATAATTAGAAGGCTATCACCCACTGACAAATGCATGCCGGCAAAGCTAATTTCGCAAGTGTCTCCAACAATGCAGCTTGCAATGCGCTCAAAAGGTCCATCGACAAAGAGTGTGCCCACATTAGCCTTGAAGCTGGAAGCATTCTGGCACGACAGCTGCTCATCGGGCCTGCAAAAACACATCGCATAAATCCCGGGCAGCGCATTGACTTGTCGTGACTCATTGTCTGCGAAAAGAAAATCTGCCTGGTCCTTAGCACACCACGAGTATCAACCACAGCATGACAGCCTCATGACCCTCTTGAAGCCTAATCCGTCACGGCCCGAGGCCTTACCTACCCTACCCCCTCGCCCACCAACCTGTTCCAGCTCTTTTAGCGTGGAAGTCGACCAGCGGACGACGTGCTCTGCTCAGGTGTGAGGCATCGTGTTTCCCGACCCACCCCGCCCCGCACCCTCCCCCCCGCCCCTCCCACTCCATGAGTTCCCGAGGCCGGTGTCCCCCCCCCCCCCCCCCCCCCCCCCCCCCCCAACCCCCCACACCTCACACCCCGCCCGCCTGGTTTGGGTTGCCTCGTTACACAAGCTCAGGCCGAGGCGGGTCGCGTAGCGTTAACCACAGCTAGTTCAGCTGGCAGAAGCCGCAGAAAGGACCATAGCTTAGCAGAGTGGCGTCTTCTGGCATCTTGATGATCTCCGCCTTTCCTCCGCCTGGGAAGCCTTCGATAGCAGAGCCAAGGCCACAGGCAGCCAGAACCATGATGCTGTCACCTGGCCTCAGTTGGCCCTGGATATCGCTCAGTTCACATGGTTGCCCAGCGGCACAGTTGACCTGTTGATTCGCACGGGGGCCTTCCACGATCAGCTTGCCAAAGGCAACCACAAAATCCTGAAAGCTACAAGGCCATACTCCGCACCAACACAAGTCGTAGCCTTCACTGCTCTCATCCAGCGACACACCATGGTCGATGCCTGTTTGCGACGAGCCGAAGCTCAGTGCAAGGGCTGAGATCCCCTCCAAGAAGATACCGGAGCCGTTCTGATTGGCAGGCGAGAGTTGCAAGGTGCGTTCTGTACCGCAGCCGTTCCGTACAGCCACGAGGTGACCTTGAGACAGCCCGACACCTTGCACATGCAGGTTTGTGCAGTCTTGGCCGCGGACACAGCGGAACTTCTGATTCCCAAAAGGCCCGATGACATGGAGCTGACCGGCTGAAATCTGGAAGTCTACGGCATCAGCACAGACCAAGCCATTCATGTTGACGCACCAGCATAGGTAGTAGACCCCACCATCGGGCACGAAATTGTTTGGGAGCCCGTTCCACGTATACCGGCTGCCATTGTTGCTTGCAGCTTCGGAAATACCTTCATTGGCCACGCCAGAAACTCCTGCCTTCTTGTTGCTTTTGCAGTCGGCGTTGGCCAAGAGGAGGCGATGCCTGTCTTGGAGATGGAACCCATCCAGATGAACCTCACAAAGTGCGCCGGAAGTGCAATTGAAGCTCTGCTCGTCGTGCGGACGAATGCACAGCTCTTCCGTCGAGGATGCGTTGGACTTTGTGGTCGACCCAACAACCAGATCTTCGCATGAAGCGCAGGCCGCGCTTGAGTTAGCTCCGCTGATGTTGCTCCATGTCCCTATTGGGCACGGCTGGCACTCATCTGTACCAATGGAATCCTTAAAGCGGCCGGCTGGGCACTCTTCGCACAGCACGGAGCCCAAGTTGCCGAAGTGCCCAGTGGCGCACACACAGTCTGCTATGCTGCCGGCGGCTTGGCCCAAAGTGGATGTTGACGGTGGGCAGGCCTCCCGATGGTCTCCGCCATGGCAGAAGAAGCCATACCCACAGGCTTCGCAACTTGCAGGATCCCCTGGCGTGGTGCTAACATAGCCGGCTGTGCAGGTGCACGCTGTGGAGGAGACGGCCCCAGCTTGCAGGGTGGTCAGTCCAAAGCTGCAGCTTGTGCAACTGGTGTTGCCCACCGCTGCCTTGAACTGCCCCAATGGGCACTCTTGACAGCCAGCTGCCTCCGCAGCTGCCTCCATGCCTTGTGGACACAGGCAATCTGCTTGGCCTCCAACAGGACCGGGTGGAAATGCAAGGCCATCTGGGCACACCAGCAACTGTTCTTGAACATCTCCCTGATGAGCAACTCCTGCCGAAGCCCATGCAGTGTCTCCATGCTGCGTAAAAACCCAGGCCGAGAAGACTTCCTGGTCAAACTTCGCACGCAATTCGGCTGCGAGCTGTGCTTCAGAGGTTGTGACTTCGTAGTCGAGGCCGTCGTTGCTGCTGTTGGTGGTGACGCTGAGAGTCAGGGACGCCCGAAGAAGGCCGTTTAGCCCAAGGTGGGACGCAAGAGCATTGCGGAACGCATCCAGCGAAGCAGTGCCCCCTGTTTGCTCAAACGAGCCCGAGAACACATGCGCGTCAACTTGAGTGCGTGCATACAGAATGCCAGAAGTTGCACTCAAGAATGGCAAGCTCTGCTGGTCTGTGCAATTGAATGCATCAGGTGCCGAATGCAAACCAAAGCGGCTGTTTGCACAAAAACACTCGTGATCTCCAACTGCACCAGTACTTGCTGTCGTCGTTCCAACCGGGCAGCTTTGACAAGCAAAGTTTCCTATGAAATTCTTGTAGGAGCCAATGAGACATGGCAGGCATGAACTCGACAGGGTGTCCCAAGAGTAGCCTGGGCGGCACTGGCAGGCCTGCTCAGAACTGGATCTGCGAGCGGAGGTGCTGCCATGGGCACACTGCCGGAGCTCAGCGGCCTGGGCGGCTTGACCACCAGGGCAGAAGTAGCCGGGCGGACACTCGTGGCACTGCGTGGTCCTCCCAACAAGCTCGTAGGTGCCCGGAGGGCACACCACGTCCAATCGCATCGCCGTAGCACGGAAGTCCTCGACCGTGCTGCAGTTGGCTGTTCTTGGGCACCAACAAAGCTGAAGTGTCTCCGGGGATGCACCCGCTGCGAGGCTGCCCAGATCAAAAAAGGTCTCGTTGGATTCGTTGAAGGATTTGAAGGCAGCAAGGATGGGATGGGGATCTGGGAAAAGAGAAGCCGTGAGCGAGGTGCCGCACGACTGCAGCGGCAGCAACATGTCGTCCTGCGTCAGCTTCGCCCCTTGCAAGCCGTCAATGATGCACGGTGCTCCGACATAACATTGGAAGGACTGGTCTGGGAAGGGACCCTGCGCCACCAGGAACCCAGCAGCCATGCGAAAGCCACTGGAATTGACAGATGCAGCGCTGAACCAGCAAAGGCGATACATGCCTTAGTGGATGCGCGTCGACTGGATTATGACGAGGATGCAGGCCATCATGCTGCAGATCCTTGTTCTAGTCATGCACTGTTTTTGATTTTGGCTTCTATGAGCTGCAGTCTGCACTCAACACGCTGACGGCCCCTCATGCACTGCACTTAAAACAACTGTGCCCCTGACCTGCCACGATGAGGACGTAAGAAGAGTTCGTGGATCCGAGCTGCAAGTCCGGGTCAGCAACAAACACGAGCCTGGAGCCCGTGAATAGAAGGAACCCTTGATCTTCGCTCTCCGTGGAACAATTCTCGGAGACTGCGAATGTTGTTCCAGCTGATAGGTTTTCCTCTCCGCGGTAATCAACTGAGCACTTTTGTCCCAGCATGCACTCGACGACAAGCATCTCCGGCACCTGCGGGCCCAGATAACGCCAGAGATCACTCCTGTAGGATGCATCGAAGCCACCGTGGACGAGCAAACTTCTTGAGTCGGGGTCCCAGGCGCTGACGTGGTCCGTTTGAGCAGCAGGCTTGTAGCCAGTTGCATTCAGGGCGAGAGGGGTCCACAAGTTCAGCAGCAAGCTGAAGTTCCACAAGTCGTCAGTGTAGCTTGGCTCTCCGTGCTCATGCTGCGTGCCGCCATGAACTAGCATGGACATAGTCACGGGGTCCCAGGCAGCTACATGCCCTGCCCGGCTCGACGGCTGTGAGCCGTGTGCCATGAGCAGGCTCCAGCGCTTGCGCCAGCTGTCGAAGTGCCAGAGGTCTGCCAAGGGAGCCACACCTGCCCAGCCTGCGAAGACCAGCATGGCCTCTGTGGTCTCATCCCAGACGGCTGCATGTCGACTGCGCGGTGCTGGGCTATCCGAAGCGCTTTGCAGGCTTTGCAGCTGCTTCCAAGTCCTGGCCTCTGCCTGGTAAACCCAAAGGTCGTTCAGCAAGTGGCCACGTTCGCCTGCGAAGACCAGCATGCTGCGGCGAAAGGGTTGCCACACTGCAGAGTGACCCATGCGGCCTGGTGGGCTCACAAGAACGCTGGGCGTGCTCCAGCTGCTTTCTTGGAGGTTCAGGATCCAGAGCTCATCGTATAGAACCGTGCCATACTCGCCACCGAAAACGAGCAATTCTTACTGAAGGTCATCCCACACGGCGGAGTGCCCTGCCCGAGGGGCGGGACCGGACGTGGGCGTCAGCTGCACCCAGGATTGCGTCACCAAGCTGTAGAGCCAGGTGTCCGCAAAGAAGTTGAAGTGCGCACTGGCCTCCCCACCATGAACCAGCATCGATTTGCGGCTGCTGAGCCACGCCGCCGAGTGCCTGGTGCGCTGGGCTGGGCTGCTGAAAGTGGAGAAGTCGCTCCAGGCGTCCACCTGGCACGCTACGCCAGCCACTTCGAAGTTGTTGCAGTCGTGCACGCCCCAGCCTCGGAACGGGCAGTGGCCCAGGTTGGTTTCATTGCCGATGCAGGCCAAGTCGTCCATCCAAATGAGCGTGCTTGCGTTTCCGTCGACACTTCCGAAGCGTGAGATACTGGTGCCACCTGCCAACCCTACTTGCCTGCACAGCACCCTAGAATCCACATCGTCCCAAGCATCATCGCACACTGCGCCCCATGTGCCTTGGTACAAGATCTGCACCTGTCCACGCATTACTGGGCATTCTGCGCATGCTGAATCACCATGAAGACGCACATGCACTGAGGACTTCGTATCTGGGACAGACAGCTCGACAGGAAGCAAGTCGTCCCCCATCTCATTTGCGGCATCGCCTATGGTCTCCACATCCCCCCTACCCAGCCTGCCGGAGAGCCCCCTTCCCCAACACTTGACCGAATCATCATCCAGGACGGCACAGGCGTGCTCGTCGCTACTGGCAATGTGACGGGCAGTGCGGCCTAGACCCAGATCAATTGGTGGAAGGTCTGCGAGTTGTTGCAGACCAATGCTTGCTGTGTCTCCCTGCCCGAGCCGGGCAGCATCCCCAGGTCCCCAGCACTTCACAGTGAAGTCGTCCAGGAGGACGCAGCCGGAGCTGAACTGCCGCACTCTGCGTCCTCCCAAGTCAACCTGGCTTCCTACAGAACTGGCTCGGGGCCAGCAGACGGCCGATCCATCATGCATAAGGGCGCATGACTCTAAGTAGTGTGTACCACCATGGACTTCCTTGACGTGGCCCTCTCCCAGATCCACCGGTGGCAGGTCGTCTCCCTCAGGCATGTCTTGCCAGCATGTGACAGCTCGCTGCTCATCGCAAATTTGCCAGCACTTGATTGTGTTGTCATCTAACAACGCGCACATACTGGAGAATTTTGTTGCTGTGGTTGTTGTGGGCCGGAAGGATATTTGTCGGGCTGTGCGACCAGCCCCCATCGCCATGGGACGGTCGATGAGGTTATAAGTCCCACACTTAATCGAGTAGTCGTCCAAAAGGGCGCATGTAATCCAGCCATCACCTGCCGCCACCTGCAGCGCCGTGTGCCCGCCCAGGTCAACGGCAGGCAGGTTCAATCCGACGAGCTTGACAGTCCCGTCATCAAGCAATACCGCTGTGTGCACGTAGCCCGCTGATATTTGGACTGCTGTGCGATTCTTGCCAAGGTCGATGGCGGGTAGAGCACGCATCTCGTGGGGCTCATCTCCGATGTCTTCCCCGCTTTCCTGCCCAAGCTGGGGCCCACCTAGACCCCAGCAGCGCGCCTCACCAGAACTCTTGTGCAGAATGCACGAGTGTTGCCAGCCGAGCGAGAGCTCCGCGAAGGGCCTGGAGACAACAACTTCTGCAACTACCAGGTGGTCCACAGCTGCATGGGTGGTGGAATCATCAGCATATCCCACAGCCATGAACTGGAGGCCGATGGCAGAGGCAGGAATCACGACTTTGGCCTCATGCCATGACAGAGCCTGCTCTTGTCCAGCCTGTCCAGCATGCACGTCCCACAACTTCGTCCAGCAATTGTAACTGCAAGCATCCCTCCGGAACCGAAGCTGGAGCTTGCCAGTGTGGCCTGGACGATAAGAAAACAGAAGCTGCTTGGAATTGGACTGCGCAGGGAAGAGCGGGCTGAGCAAAATGCCGTCACCATCGCTCTGCATGTACCACTCCCCACTGCTCGCTTGACCCTGGCCTCTCTGCCAGCCTTGCCAGCCACAAGCATCCAGCTCAAAGTCGCACGTAGCATCCTCAATACTGGCCACGGGCCTGCCAGGCTTGCGCGCGTCTCAAACTAGGGAATCTCACGGCTTGATGCAAGACTCCGAGCAGCCCCTGTGGCGTTTATAAGGCAAAGCTATAGTACGCAAAAACACACTAGCCGGCGAGCCTCTGCGCGCACAGTCTGATTTTCAGCATATTGTTGCTGCCACCGCCGCCACCAAAAATCACCTGGGGAATTTACAAGGGTGAAAACCCGAGCATGTTCGTGGAAACACTCAGTTTTGGCAAGCCAGCGCCTGACTCCCTGAACTCGGAACAGCTTGCGGGCCTGGCAGGCCACCATAAAAATAAGCACCTGGCGAATGTATCTGGATATACGACGAGGAAGGGCCATCAAAATCCGTAGTGTGCACCGCCGTGTCCGTGGTGAAGGTACACTGCACATCATAGGCCAGAGCCATCTCTGGAAAACCAGGGCTCTGCAAACAGAAGCCGTCCACTTCACAAGGGCCCGACGTGACATGGATAGCTGGCGGATAATTGACCTGGAGAGGGAAAGTTCAGCAGGGAGTTGTCGGAGTTGCATCTGGTTAGGTCCGACTTTAGGTCCTCTAGGTCAGTTTGTGTGCAGAAGTCTCCTGAGGCTGGCAACGTAGGCCCGGAGTGATGAGACAGGCTTGTCTGTTTCACTTCTCAAAGGGGCCAAGGGCGCCCCCTACTCACACCGGAACCGGTAGCCAGCACTAAAGCCTCCTCTTGGAAACCCCTTCTTTTCCGACTCTCTTGCAAAGTGGGATCCTCAACTTTGGCTTAGGCAACTTCCGTCCATTGCCTTACCCTGTCCCCCAACTAGAGGATGAGGTGTCCTTGAAGGTGTGTGGAGAACAGTACACCAACTTGTATGTAAGAACGAGCATGCGCTCAACGAGCATGCGCTCAACGAGCATGCGCTCAACGAGCATGCGCTCATTTTGTACAGAGTGTTTCTCACGCAGCACAACGCAGTCAGCACCATCATCTAGCAAGGATGATGCGTTGGTATTCCTTGCCGCGCGCTGTGCAGCAACCCTTGACAGTTGCAGGTTTGTCTGATCTACAAAATACGGAGCGAACATGCTTGCACGGCTCCAAATTCTTCGTAGTCACGCGAGGAGCCATACAATTTCAACGTTATTCGTGACAAACGGTCCAAAAAGGGAGTCACCACACTTCACACATCCGACACTGACTCTGGGGCTGCTGTTCTCCATGCCAAAACAAGCGACACTCCGATACACTTACGGTGCAGAAAGCAACGCTGAAAAAATGCGCCAGGCAGCAGACCACTTGATTTTATGTTGCAGCGGCGTTGGTTCATCTATCCGCTAGAATCACAAGTTTCCCGGTCGTATTCAGTTTTCTGAGTTTGCTGGGGATACCTGCTATATTCACAAGTTTTCTTGGGGAGACTTTGTTCAATTCGGCAAGCTGCAGTCATAGGGGGCGCGTGCGGGCAAGGGTGGCGGACTCTTCGAGCTTGTCTCTTCATTGATATTTGGATATTTGACAGGCCGACCCGTGAGGAACAGTTTTTGGGTTTGCGGGCGGAGGGGGGGGATGGGGTGCCTGGGCAGACCCTCTAGAACAGCGGTATCTGAGGAAGGCGGGGTTAAAGGTGAGGTGACCTTTCCTTACATTTCATGATTATGCTGCAAGAGGAGCATGCACGGCATTGAGGCGAAAGCCCCGTACAATAGTACAGCAAACTACAGTACGTAATGGGTCAAACTTTACGGCTTCACGGGCATAAAAGTATTTCTCGTCGATCGAGAGAGAGTCACAGAGTTTTGTGCGCGTGGTTTAGACGCTACCCCAGACAGTCACACAGATGCTGTCACACATCCGCATGTTAAACGTGTCAACCCCAATACCGCTGCCGCATTGTCAGTCTTAAGAATTCTGGGGGCTGGGCAAGTACTGCTTGAGATCTGGTAGCGAAGCTGTCGAGAGCGACCACATCTGAACTCTGAATGCGATCAGCCAGAACCCGTACCACAGTTGTAGAAGCGGGAATGATCAAGTTGGCGTCATGCCATGCAGCTCCGTGGTCGCCCTCGATAGACCAGATCACTGACCAAGACGAAGTCACGTTGTCGAAGCAAGACACAATGATCTTTCCAGGAGGGGTGGACCGGAGATAATAATGAAACTTCAAGGTCCACTCCCCCTGCTCTGGCTGGATCTGCGCGCTCATCAGGACAGCATCTGTTCTGCTGTAGAGGAACCCATCTCCTGTGTGCGCACTGACCTCGGCACTTGGGCCGTCAATCTGATGTTGCCATCCGGAGATTGACCAGTTGCAGTCATACGATTCCCAGTCGCAGGCAAGGTCTCCATGAGCGACAGCAGGCAACCTGCGTAGCAAGTGCATCACTGCTCAGGCCGAAAAACGATGGAATTGCTAGGGAATTCTGCTAGGACCTTCATGAAGCAAAAGTCACAACAAATGGACCAATGCCAGGAGCCGGAACCGATCAACAATGCCAACTCGGGAACAACTTTTGCCAATGTCGTTTTGGGGATGGGCCTGGCATCCTACAGGATCCGTAGCCTAGTCGATACCTTTGGAGTTGGGGCTCATGGGGTTTCGTATGGTTTTTTTTTTTTGGCCGGGTTTACTGTTTGGACTTTGCAAAGCCACCCCCCCTCCCCCCCACCAGCCTGCTTCCACAGATCTGACCTCCGTCCGTGCTCTGAACCGTCCAGATATTATATGTGTTTAGGGGCTGAATGAAGTTCTGACGTTGTGCTGGGTCTGCATCGTACCTCACGATGTCATATTCTGCTTGAAAGCTGCAGGCGCCATTGCCCCCTGGATGCTTTACGCAAGCTCCATGGACGGTGCAGCCTCCATCCCACACTTGGAAGAAGATCCTGCAAGAAACAGGTCCTACGTAGTTCTGCAAGTAGCATCTAAGGCCAAAGTAGAATGAAGCTTGCTCTGCCAGAGTCCATCGTGCTCTACATGCCATCTTCAGGTAAGAGAGCCCCTGTCTCTCTCGGTTTCAATGTTTTTTGTTTCTTGCCCTTCTTCTTCTTCTCCTCCGCGGGCTTGGGGGAATCGGGAAGTCCTTCCCCACCCCGCCCCCACAGCAAGCCCGAGGTCCCTGTGTAGTGGGCTCGATGCCCCCCGTCGGTGACTACATTTGGCCAGGGCAGGGTTTCCTACAAAGCAGGAAAAAGTTTGCCTTGCAACAAAGGCTCGCAAATTCTACTCATCACATGACTCACTGAATCGTCTTGCTCCTTTACAAACAGGACACACGCAACCTTTCCCGCGCAACACCGAGCTTCCCAACAACCTCTACTCCGCTCACTCGGCTTCTCTTCGGGCTGGCTCTCTTCTTCTTCTTCTTCTTCTTCTTCTTCTTCTTCTTCTTCTTCTTCTTCTTCTGAGGGCCGCCGGAGGGAGGCCCCCGGCCACGACGGCCAGGCGGTTCTTGTCTCTGCGTAACGCCTCCTTTTGAGACCCTGTTGAGAGGGCTCACAGTTGTTTCACTGTGGCCAAAGGCTGCCAGCCGGTTCAGTTACTGGTTCGCTCCCCTCACTTAGGGTGTAATCTGTCGTGGAACTAGTCCCCGCTGTCCGGCATGCTGTGGTCGCCCTCTTCCATCTCCTCCAGGTGCTGGGTGGTCCCCATCGTGTCAGGTGGGCCCTCATGCATGTTTGGTCCTCCTCCCTGTTGCCCATGTGGTTCTCCCGATTGTGGTAGTGGTCCTGCTCGATGTGGTTCTCCCTTCATCCTTTTGCTCTCTCTCTCTCTCTCTCTTTCTCTCTCTCTCTCTCTCTCGCTCTCTCTCTCTCTCTCTTTCTCTCTCTTTCTCTCTCTTTCTCTCTTTCTCTCTTTCTCTCTTTCTCTCTTTCTCGCTCTTGCTCTCTCTCTCTCTCTCGCTACTTCATTCTCACTTTTTTCTTTCTTTGCTGTTTGACCGGAGACATTTCGCCCCGGCTTCCTGCCGAGAAGCGTTTGGAACAAGCAGACACGGATCCGGTCTCCTTCCCCCCGAACCCAACCCTTCTTTCCGTGACCTTTGCCAGAAACCCTCCTCCTTTCCTGTCCTGGGCCTTGGGTTGTGGGCCGGCCCGGCTGCCGAGGCAGCGCGTGCCAGCGTTTGCAATATGAGAGAGGATCGCGAGGGGCCGCCTTGTGACTGAGTCCGGATTCTGCATCTCGTGCAAGCACAGCGGCAAGAGTTTTACGGGCATGAAGTTTGAAGTTCTATGTGCATTCTGGACTCTGGCTGTGTCGGAGCGAGATCATGGACTCTGGTTGCACAGCATGGCGGGCCCAGTGTCCTGGTAGGTTTGGGACTGTGGGATGCTTTGCACAGCTTCCACCCAGCTCTGCGTTGATCGTAGATTTCCATTGACCACGTGATTTCAACACTCCCATTGGAGGTCTCCGGAACAACGGCGTCAACCAGGTCAACTGAGGGCCATCGGGAGACGGAGCCATCATTCCCCCACATGTGCACATCATGCCCGGCAGTCAGAATATGATTCACATTGGTCTCCATAAACGACACAACGAAAGGGCCATTTTTTCCATATGCCTTGCAAAACCATTTACTGCTGCCGTCGCCATAGCCGTCAGGGAAGTTGCTGGACTCGAGACAGAGGCCAGATTCTGTCACAACGCACTGGCCAACCACCACGACAAAGTGACTGTCAATGGGCCTTGGTCTGGTAAAAGTGCTGGGGTGTAGGTCCATAGTCTGATTGGAAGCACTGAAGGCCTGATTCTTGAGGGGGGTTCTCAAGTTTGGGGTTTCACTTGTATAGCTTGTTGTAGCTATTGCTGTAGTTTCGACGTTTCCATGATCTAAGGCTGGACGCCTGTACTGCGCTGACGCTGGTGTTTGGTGGCTCTTTCCCACATATTCACAGTGTGAACACGACTCTATAGGCACATTGAAACCAGTGAGGATAGGCGAGCATAGGCCCCCACTTTCTGATTGTATCTGCATCCTCGCATGATCGAAGCCAGAGACCAAAGACATAACAATTGCAACAGCGGAGGCCTTCCTGCAGCTAACTCGACGCAAAGATACGACTGTTTTTGCGAGAGTCGCAACAAAACTAGGGTTCGCTGTCAAGATGCAGCATAAAAAGGTATGAACAGGACATGCCCAAAATGGCGCCAAATGGGAGAAGTCAGGAGACGCTGCTGTAGACATGGACTCAAAGTGTGTGCTGTACTTTGTTTCGGCATGGGCAGCGGGCTGGGCATGGGAGGCTCGCTGAGGCCCAGCTGGCAGCAGCAGCAACAGCAAGGGTGGCTCACTTGGTTGCGACTTCGTCTTGCTCTTCCCCCTCATGATGTCAGACAAGAGAAGTCTTTCATGACTTCGGGCTCGGACTGTGCCTGCCAGGCATGCATGCCTGCTTGCAGGCTTCGCAGATGAAGCGCGCAGGTTAAGCC